CTACAGAGGGCGCTGTATTTGCATACGTTTAAAGTCACAGAATTTATGTTTTGAACTACTTGTTAGATTTCCACTGACGACATAATGTTTTGGTCTATTTGTTCAGATAAAAAAAAAGGGTCCCAAAGATTTAAATATTGCTTAAATTTGTTGAGGTGTAAGTTCTAGCCAGATATACAAATGTTGTCTAACTCAAACTCTCACAAAAGATTGGGGGAAAAACCAGATTCGTCAGATTTGTTATTTTTCAGTTAGTCAGGAAAAATTATAATTTAGCAGTGTGATATTTGACAGATCTGTAGATCGTTGTTGTCAATATATTTGAACAAACCTTTACACTCAAGTCTAACAGCGGATGATTGTAGTGAGCCCTCGTACATTTCACAGGCGTACCATGTCCCTTGATAAACAAGGTATGTCTGACTCATCGTTCCTTGAAACAAAATGGCCACCAGTTGGCCATTTTGAATCTGATCTAAAAAGCTAAATGATTGATTTATTTCATCTTACTTGTGATATTTAATTGATGATATATTTTGTTTAAATTTTTTTTTTTTTATGATCCTTCCATAGGATAATGACTTAATACTGAAATATTTGCCATGCGTCTTGGGGTTTATAGTTGATGACCACACACAAGCAATCAGGAAGAGACTAGGTGAAAGCGAGAACCTAAAAAGCCTGTTGCCAGATACGTACTTAAAGTATCTGAAAAAAGATCATGTAGCGTTCACACTCGCTATATACTACATAATGAACGTAGCTAAACAGAAGAACCGTATCGCCGTAAGTCGTCTGTTACCGTCACTTTTGAAAGGAGAAAGCGAACGTTCTTTTGAAGACACATTTCTGCATCCCTTGTTATCATCTATTGCGCTTCTCTGTGATGAATTCAGCTCAGAAGAGTTCTGTAATATTGTTTTTGATGAGTTTTTCATTCCAGCCTCGTCCGTGGAGTCAGTAAGGCGGCATTCTTTGAGGCTACTTCATTTTGTATTTCATCGAATGTCGCCAAAGGTTCTTAATAGAGTCATGGAGTCACTAGAGCCTGAATTAGAAGTAAGTACCCTTGTGTATTTTAATTACAGTAACATACTTTATTTTAGCTGGAATTAATTTTCACTGAAAAAACTTCTATTTTGTATGGAATTTATTTTCACTGATTTTTAATAAGTTGAATGTAAAATATAGAAAAAAATTGTATATTTGCTGGATTTTATTTCCACTGAATCATCCCTTCCGTGAAAATAATTTCCAAGAAAAAGTAAATTATTTTACAGTGGCTATGGTGATGCTTTTCTGACAAAATGAGACAAAACTGTCTTCTGGTTAGATGATTGGCTGCAAGTTGAAAATGTTGATTCTGCTTGAAAGTTGTTGGCCCACTAGTTTATATTATGCAGTTAACATTAGCAGTATTATAGACTGTCATATCATTCCTTAGATGTACCGGTAATTAAGTAATTTGGTGTATTTAACCTCAATTAGTCAGCAGTGTGGCCTTTAACAGATATGATTTTGTAGGAATTTTGAATCAAAATGCAATCTCCCCAAATTGATTCAGCTTGTTGACTGCTCCCGAGGTCAATTTTAAAGAAAAAAACATTCGACTGTCTAGGTGACTTGAGACATGAATAAAAATGTTGAGGCTCTCGATTTCTTTTGTTTTTACACATATTTCACTTATAAAATGTGAATTTCATTTTACCAAATTACAAATTCCCTAACTTTATCACTATATCAAGCGTACAAGTGTTTCTATGATGTATCAGTGAATTTAGCACAGGTAGTTGCGTCACAGCAAATGTTGTCCATCAGTGGCGTGTCATACCGGCTTGAAGGGCTGACAGGTCAGTCCTCTTTTTTTAGCTCCGCTGTCGACTTTGTCGAGCGGAGCTTATCATATGAGTGATCGTTCGTCGTCGTCCGTGTCAATGTTTTACTTTTTCGACTTCTTCTTGAAAACTACGAGCCTGAATGCTTTGATAGTTGGTGTATATGTACCTTGGGTAGACCTCTCTCATATTTGTTCATTTCATGATCATATCTTCAATTCTCTAATTTTGGTGAATATTTTTGTCATTTTTGGTAAAAAGTGATATTTTCAACTTCTTGTTAAAAACCGCAAGTCCAATTGCTTTGATATTACGTATATAGGTACTAC